TCTCCAGCACAGGCTGGGAATCTCCTGGAGGATCAGCTCCAGCACAGGCTGGGAATGGATGTCGCTGTTTCCCTGCTCCCCTCCCCTCCCTCCCATGGCCCGAGGTGATTTTGCGGGTAGGTGGGCGAGGCGAGAGGGAATTGTTGGTTTTTGAGGCGCGGTGTTCTCCTGGCTCCCGCAGGTGATGGGCAGTGCCTGGCCTGGCCTGGAGCTGCTGGTTCCGTGGGATTTGTGCCTCTGTGTCTGGGTTTCTGCAGGGAATCTCTCTGGAGCTGCTGGTTCTGTGGGATCTGTGGCTCTGTGCCTGGGTTTTTGCAGGGAATAGCTCTGGAGCTGCTGGTTCTGTGGGATCTGTGGCTCTGTGCCTGGATTTCTGCAGGAAATCTCTCTGGAGCTGCTGGTTCTGTGGGATCTGTGGCTCTGTGTCTGGGTTTTTGCAGGGAATCTCTCTGGAGCTGCTGGTTCTGTGGGGTTTGTGGCTCTGTGCCTGGGTTTCTGCAGGGAATCTCTCTGGAGCTGGGGTGAGAGAGGCAGGGAGCAGCACAAAGCACCCTGGCATCATGGATGGGGCTCCTTTCTCCATGGGGCTCCTTTCTCCAGGCACCCACAGGGCTCAGGAAAGGGTTAATAACCAGTGGGAGCAGGAAGATGCCAGGACCTCAGCAGGGCAGGCTTGGGAGAGGGGAAAATTCCTGTGATCCAGGGAAACCCTTGTGAGGAGCAGTGTCCCCGTGGTGGCAGGGGAAGGGGGACAGCTGCTGGGACACAGGAGGCACTCACCACCCGAGGCACAAGGCAAGGACTTTCCACTTGGGATCCAGCTGTTGGTCCTGACCCAAATAGGGGCATTGGTATTTAACAAAGGAGCCAAATTCCCTTTTTAGAATCTGGCTGGGATCTGATTGCTGTGCTTCTCCCACAGCCTTCCTCACAACTGCGAGGAATACCAAGTATGAGTGGCATTTGTGTCTGGTAAACACGAGGGAGAATGGGGCTTGTTCTGGGCAGAAGCGACTTTGTTGCAAGAAATTATTTTGTATTCTTAAGGAAAAGGCTTCTAATAATTAACCTGCTCTCAACAAGGCAGAAATCCCAAGTTCAGACCTTCGCCAGGCTGGTGCTTCCATCTGCCAGGCCAAACAGGGATGGTTGGAGGGTCCCGGTTATGGCAGAGCTGCAGGAATTTACAGCTTGTGGGTTAAAAAAGACATTTCTGTGTATGCCTTTTCAAAATACTGATTCAGTTCTCCTCTAAGAAATGAGGAGCAAAGTCCATGCAGTGGGAAAAGACCTCTCTGCCTTTTCCAGGGGCTAAAATCTCACTTGAAGGAGCACTTCTGTTTAGATTTGTTTTCTGGTCCCTCCTCCTTCAGCTGCTAGTGATGCACTGTGGGAGGAGTTCTTGTTATTGTCAGGAGTTCAGGAAATTGTTTGATTTGACTCCAGTCTGACTTCAAGAAAACGACAAAATACCACTTCAGGTTTGAGTGAAAAAGGGACCTGCTTTGGGTTTGGTTCCATGCTGATCAACACGGACTGCAGGTGTTAATCCAGCCCCATTTTGCCTGTTTTTCTGCATCTTTTAGGAGTTGAGGTTCTGAGAGTCTGCCAGTGATTTTGATGACTTCCTGAGTAACCTTGGAGCAAGTGGCTTTATCACAGGATTGCTTTGAATGTAAGGAAGGCAGGAAACCCTGGC